GAATATTAACTCCTCGGAACGCTCGACCCGTATTAGCGCTCTGGAGTAGGGTCCCCATAATACCCGGTACCGGTTTAATTTCTGACTCTCCCTTAATAAAGGCTTGAAACCCACGAGAAGTAATATTCTTACTTGTCGCGGTATACGGTTGGAGTTTCCCGGTCGGTGCAAGGTCTTGTTTCGCGGATCCTCCATTAGTCTCGGGGATTTCCCCTGGTGCCGGCTGGTCGTGACGTTTTAAATTTGCGCCACCATATTCTCCTTTTTTTGCCCTCTCCGAAGTTGCCACGTTGTCCGTTTTCTGCTTCGGGGGTGCCGCACTGTTCTTGTCCTTCAGCTCCGCACACCTTCTCTTCATTTTCCAACACGCCAAGATATGATGTCCTGTAGCGTCGCAAAATTTGCACGTCTCATTATTTGCTAGCCGCTGCTCCACATCGCCCTCGTCGTTCTCCATCGGGTCGGCAGTCGTGGGTGGTGCCAATCGCCCCATGCCACTAGTTGGCTTGTTGCGTCGTGTTCCGTAGTAGCTACTGTTCAACGTGTCCAACTGTTCGATCAGTGCTGCTGGAAACTGCGCCCACGTCTCCTCGCCTTGGACTATTCTGTTGTTGATCCACTCTAGAGCTGGGCCTCGTAACAGTGTTGCTGCGAGCCGTATGCGCATTGCGTCTTTTGTCGAGGTCGTGCATCCAACGGCTTTGAAGTAAATTTTGAGTTCAGCTACAAATCGACGAACGTCGTTCCTTTTTACTGTAGGATCGAACGCCTCCGGTAGCCTCGGCTTCACTGCTTCGAGGTTAACTGTAGCTACTGCTGTTGTCGCATGTAGAACTGTCGGTGTTGCCGCTGCTACTGCTGCTACTGATGTCGCTGCTGCTGTGGCGGTTGCCGACTGGTTCGCAAGGAGTTTTTTGAGTCGTGGGAGCGCCGCATGTATTTGCTTATCCTCAGTACGTAACTCCGCGATTTTCTGTACTGAAATATCTCCTTTTCCCTCCATTTGGCGATTTACAGAAAGATGCGCGACGAAAATAATCGAATTCTTGGTGCTAGTCAACCTACTACGAGTCAAGTTGACTGTAGAATCGACGAGCGCAAATTTTGTAGGTCGCGTAAATCTCCCTTGGGCGAAATTTGCGTCCGATCTTGGCCGTTGAGGAGAAAATAAATCCGACGCTACAAATTCCAACTTTTTTGGGCGAAATTCTCTGGGCCGTTGAGATGAAACTCGATCGAATAATCGAAACTCCAACCCTTCCACCAGTAAATCTGAGGGGTGTTCGAAAACCGAATCGAGGGGGACTTAGAAAAATTGCGCGGAACTGGTTTTACATACCCGTATCGGCGCTTTCGTCGTCGCCCCCGCGGTTTTTTTTAAGGCCGGAACTAAGCGGTTGAAGACCTCACGTGAAAACCCGCTCTGATTACCAAGTGTGAGGATCTAGGATCGAGCTCAGAAAAGATGATTCGAATTGAATTGAATCGAATTGAATGAATCACCTGGGTACAACACGAGGCTATATATAAGCTCGACACAAGGCCCTGTAACCAGGTGTTACGCGAAGGTTCCGCGGGTCGCGAAGCGTCCCGAACAGATCCTTCCCGAATTCGGTAGGAGGCAATTCGGTGGCAACCGTAAAGCCAAAATTCGGTGCACGCAACCTAGCTCGGTGCTATAACTATAATAAAATATAGAAAAGCACCTAGCCTAGGAAATCATGTGATAATGAACGAAAATGAATGCACTATGAAAGAGTTGGGTACAAGTACTAACCCTAATTGGGTTGTACCCCTTATGGGCTACCCCACTATAGCCTACACAAAAGCATAAGCTATGATGTTCTAACACACCCCCATAGATAAAGTGGGGGAGAACAAGGGGTCACAAGACCAGTCAAGCAAAGCAAAGCAAGCTCAGGGTGGATCACAAAGTCACCACACATTCCGAGCACAAGTTCAAGGCCACAAGGCCAGTTCACATGCAGGAGTACATATATATAAAAGGCTAGACAAGCAAGAGCAGGTGTATATACATATGTAACAGTACAAGCAAGGTCAAGAGGTGACCAAGTGAGGCAAGGCAGATACAAGACCCAGCTGAGTACAGAAGCGCTGATGATCACAAGGCTCAAGCGCCTTGGTGAAGATATCAGCAGTGTTGGCCTCAGAGGCCACGTACGCAAGACGCAGCTGACCACGCTGCTGTAGCTCACGAGCAAGGAAGTATCTTAAGAGGAATGTGCTTCGTTCTGTGCTCCAGTCGCTGCTCCCGACACAAGGCCAGCATGGCCTTGTTGTCTACGTACAGCTCTGGAGGAGAACGAGGCGGCTCTCCGAGGTCAGTCAGCAAGTAGGTGAGCCAGCGAAGCTCCTGAGCAGCCATGGCTCCTGCGTAGATCTCAGCCTCACAACTGGAGCCGAGAACAAAAGACGAGCGAGTAGCCCGCCACGAAACAGAGCCGGAACTAAGGCTGAAGGTGTAACCCTGTGACGACCGCTGCGTAGCCTGGTCGTCAGCCCAAGAAGCGTCTGCGTGCCCAGTGAGGACCACTGGACTCTGCCCTCCAAGCACAAGCCCCATGCCCGACGTACTGCACAAGTAGCGCAACACCCTCTTCGCTGCAGCCATGTGCTCTGGTCGGTGTCTCCCAAGAGCAACATGGCGTGCGAGAATGCTAAGAGGGTATGCAAGGTCAGGTCGTGTGCAGGTCATCAGGTACATGAGGCAGCTAACAAGCTCTCGGTACGGGCCACTCGGCTCTATAGACTCATCCAAAGGCAGAGCTGAGAGCGACTGGCGAGTAGGCAGAGGAGTGGCCTGAGGCGAGGAGTACGTGAAGCCGAAGCGCTGAAGGACCTGCTGCACCATGTGTGACTGAGTCAGGGTAATGGTGCGGCGTGCTCTGCTACAAGCCAAGGTAGCTGCGCAGTTCACCCAGGTCAGTGCACGTGTGTCTCTTCTGCAGCTCGGACTTCATATGGGTGAGTCCAGCAATGTCAGCTGTGGCAAAGACCAAGTCGTCGACGTACACGGGGATGTAGAACGGCGGCAGAGAAGTGTCAGTGCGCAGAAACAACGACGGGTCGGCAGTAGAGGGAGCAAACCCAAGAGCCGCAAGTGTAGGCCTCAGTGTGTCGTGCCACTCACACGGTGCCTGGCGAAGACCGTAGACTGGCCGCCGGAGGCTCCACTGGGTGCCAGGAGGAAAAGTCCCAGTGAAGCCAGGTGGGCGGCGCAGCCAGATCTCCTCGTGCAGGCTGCCCGGTAGGAAAGCAGTGCTGAAGTCAAGAGAGTGTAGCTCGTAGTCACGGTAAGCAGCTACGTGCAGTAGTATCCGAAGAGTGGTCATCTTCGAGGTGGGAGAGAAGGTCTGAAAGTAGTCAACTCCCTGCCGCTGACTGAAGCCACGAGCCACGTAACGCGCCTTGAAGACAGGCGAAGAACCCGGTGGCCGCTTCACCCTGAAAATCCACATGCCACTGACGATGTTCGCCCCAGGCGGGGGAACCTCGTCAACGTAGGTGCCTGTGGACTTCCAGGAAGCCATCTCTGCGTCCATAGCTGCCTGCCACTGAGAGGAGTAGGGACCCTCTATCGCCTCCGCGTAAGAGCGTGGAGTCTGGATGTCAAGTGCATCCGGATCTCCCTCAAGGGTAAGCAGTACGGACACGAGATGAGGTGAAGCAGCGACCAAGCACTGAAACTCCTCCTGCCTGTCCTCAAGAACGTCCGTGCCAAGGGCACACTCACCCCCGAGGGACGGAGGACAGACAGACTCAGACTCAGCAACAAGACTGGTGGCGTAGTCTAGGCGACAGCGAGCAGCAAAGTCGACGAGCTCAGCAACTAGGGCAGACGCAGCAGTGGACTCAAAGGAAGGGTCACTGACGACAGTAGCAAGGAGACGCGTGACTGGCAGCACGAAGAGAGTGCGACTCCGGGTCGGCAAGAGCAGGAAGAGAAGACTCAGGAGCAGAAGGTAAAGGGGCACGAAGAGGAGCAGTGGACGGACGCAGAGACATCCGGTGCGTGCCAGGGACAGGAGGAGGATGCTGCCGCGAACCGCGACCACTAGTGCGAGCAGCACGGACAGGCGACGCAGGGCGAGACGCAGGCTCACGACGCTCAGAAAGACCTCCAGTAGGACCAGTGTAGGGAGACGGAGCAGGCAGTGGGGAGGCGGGCTGTAACTGTAACTATGATGGGACAGGCTGTGGACACTCTAAGGGAGGAAGAGGACCAGTAGAAGGCGGGAGACCAAGAACCTGCTGAAGGAGACGAACGAAGTACGGCCGAGGCCGCGCGGCGACTCCAGACACAGCAGGGACAGCACCAACACCCCCAGCGGCAGCACCAGCACCAGCAGAACCTCCAGCTCCAGTACCTCCAGCAGCACCAGTAGCACCCCTAGCAGGACCGCCTCGAGGACCGACAGCAGTAGCCTCCGCGCCAACACCCGCAGCAGCTCCAGCTCCAGAAGTACCCGCAGGTCCAGCAGCTCCAGTACTCCCAGTACGAGCACCTCCGGGACCCGCGGCACCAGCACCCTGAGCAGCAGCAGAACCTCCAGTACCTGCAGCACCTCCAGCTCTAGCAGCTCGCCTCCAGCGCTGGGCAAACCACTCACGCAGCTCCTGTGGAGAGAGTGGCTCCCGGCGAGACGAAGCACCCGGAGAACCGCTAGGCACAACACCGCCAGACGCCACACGAGCAGGCCCAGCTCCCTCAAGCTCAGCACCTCCAGGCGTAGCACCCCCAGGCGTAGCACCCCCAGGCTCAGCACCCCCAAGCTCAGCACTCCCTGGCTCAGCACCCCCATGCTCAGCACCCCCAAGCTCAGCACCCCTAGGCTCAGCACCACCAGGCTCAGCACCCCCAGGCTCAGCACCCCCAGGCGTAGCACCCACACGCTCAGCACCCCCAGAGTCAGCACCCCCAGGCTCAGCACCCTCAGCAGCACCAGAGTCACCAGCGACCTCGACAGGCTCAACAGCGTCTACATGGGACACACCTGAAGGGGCAGGACCCTGAGGGGGGAGGGGGTTTACCGGGGGGGGACCTGGCACAAGGAAGAGCGGTGGCGGGGGGAGGGACGGAGTGCGGTAGGGGAAGAGACGGTAGTAGGGGACCGACTCGTCGAACGTGACGTCCTGGGAGGACAGAACACGGCGAGAGGTGGGGTGGTAGAAGTGCCACCCTGGCGCGTCAGGGGGGAAACCTAGGAAGACGCAGGGAGCAGCACGAGGGGACAGCTTGTCCGCAGACAAGTCGCGGACAAACACCCGAGATCCCCAGACACGGAACACAGACGCATCGCCAACCTTCCCCGTCCACAGCAAAGCTGGGGAGGTCTCTGGCATGGAGACCCTGGGCTGAAGGTTGATCTGATGCACCGCGTACCGGACCGCAAACGGCCACAGAAAATGGGGGGCAGCCGCATGCATCATGGACGTATGGGCGACGTCCATGACCATGCCAATGCGGCGCTCAGCAATCCCACTTTGCTGTGGAGAGTCCGGAAGCGTGAAGGTCTGGCGGATGCCTCGTGCACGACAGTAGGCTCGCAGAAGGCCAGAGGAGAACTCTTCGCCTCTGTCAGAGTGCAGACGCAGAACAGGAAAGTCCGAGCCGAAGCTCCGCCTGAGCTGGAGACGAGCTGCGCGGATCCAGTCGATCAACACCTCAGTGACATCACCCTTGCTGCGCAAGGTGAAGACTGTGGTGTAACGCGAGTAGTCGTCAACCACCAGCAGGAAGTAGCGCTCGTGACCCTGTCCACGAACGCGGGCCGGGCCCCACACGTCCATGTGAAGCGTCTGCAGCGGGGCCTCTGTCGGAGGAAACAGAGAGGAGTGAGGGGCAGCCGGCTGCCGCCCTTCGACACAGGGGACGCAGGTAGGGCCAGGCCCCGGAGGAAGGGGAGGGAGGGACCGGGGAAGACCAGAGACAAGGACACGGGAGGCCATGCTTCGGAGACGAAGCAGGGAGGGGTGACCAAGGCGGTGGTGCCAGAGGAGAGTCTCGTGAGGCAGGAGACGACACGAGAAGGGGGCAGACTCAGGACCAGACCTGGACGCTGCAGCAAACACCTGACCCGACGCAGCTACCTGACTAGACGCAGTGACTGGAGGAGACGCAGTGGTTAGTGTGTACAGGCTCGACCCCGGCCGACGTGTAAACGTGGCCAGGTGTCGGTCTGTCCGAGCGACCGTGCAGTGGGTCACCCGCTGACTCGCAGGAGTGAACTGGTGAACCCCCGCATCCTGTAGGTCAGCACCACTCACCAAGTTCGTAGAGAACGAGGGGAGGTAAAGACCAGACAGGGTGCCAGAGGGGGCCGCCGTACACGGGAGGACAGTGGAGAAGTGAGCAAGGACAGGGCCCCCAGAGGGGTTTCTTTGCTTCCTCCTTTGCTTCCTCCTTTGCTTCTTCCCTTTCTTCCTCGTTTTCCTTCTCACTTGCTCCCTCCTTCAATTTCGCCTTCACTCCCTCCATTCCGTCCTCCTTCATAGTGACACGAGTTTCAGCCCCATCAACACCAATAGCACCACCCTCAGCACCATGTGAACCCGCAGCAGCACCTGCTTCAGCTTTCACACCCGCAGTCATGCCATCCCCCTCAGCACCCTCTTGCGCTGATGCTGCCTTCGCTTCTGCTGCCTTCCTCTCTGCCCTCCTCTCCTCCCTAACACATGCCGTCTCACCCATGGCATCCCCACCATTAATGGTCACAGCACCAGGTCTGGTAGGTGCATCAGCAGGGTTGGTGGGCGCATCAGCAGGTTTGGTGGTTGCAACACCAGGATTGGTGGGTTGGGCAGGCGATGGGGCAGGTGGAACGGCCGGGATGTCCTCGAGGGTAAGGCCAATCATGTTGCGCGGCGGGACGGGTGGCAGCGACAGCTCAGCGCATGCCACGTCAGCGAGGCCCAATTTATCGTCATTGATGATGTCACTCCACTGCCCGTAGCCGTGCCTGCAAGGAAGGGGAGAGGAGGAGGTGAGGGGGAGGTGAGGGGGAGGTGAGTAGAGGTGAGTGGGAGGTGAGTGGGAGGTGAGTGGGAGGTGATGGGGAGGTGAGTGGGAGGTGAGTGGGATGGGAATGAATGATGATAGGGGTTAGAACGAAAACCATGGGTGCAAGTGGGAACTGGCCGTCCTTTGTGATGTCACTCCACTGCCCGTAGCTGTGCTCGCGTGGAATTGCTTGAGGGGGGGGGGGGGGGGAGAGGGGATGGGAAGGAGGCGGGGGTCGAGGGCAAGGAGGAGTGGCATGGTTATCGTTGATTGTGGTGATGTCACTCCACCACCCGTAGCAGTGAATATGTGAAATTGAGAAGGGGGCGGGAGAGGTGGATGGGGGAGGGGTGAGAAGGAGTGATGGCTGGCTGGTATGCGCAAGGAAGAACGAGAAGCATGGGTGTGCCTGGCAGACTTTCATTAGTGATGATGCCACTCCACCACCCATAGCTCACTTGGTGATGCCTTTCAGCAGCTGCAGGTCGTGCTCTGGAAAGGTGAAATGCATACGCAACGCGTATTCCGTGACTCCTTTCAGCACTGCAACTCACTTGGTGATGCCTTTCAGCAGCTGCAGGTTGTGCTCGGCCCGCCAGAGTAGTGTGAGCAAGGGAAGCAGGGAGGCAGAAGGGATAGAAAGTCAACAGGCGTGAGCAAGGGGAGCAGTGCACTGACATAGGTAAGTCAGCCGCCACTCACCTGGTAACGCCTTTTACAACTCACCTGGTGATGCCTTGCAGCAGCTGCAGGTCGTGCTCGGCCCGCCACTATCGCGTGCGGAAAAGCGGTGCCAGCTGGCTGTGGCTCTTCAAGTGCTCTGGCAGGCCTGGCAGCAACTCCTCCCAGCCCAGCTCCACCGCTTCCTCCTTTTCTTCCACCCCCTCTTCCTTTTCACCCTGCTTCTTTTCACCCTCCTTTTTTTTACCCTCCTTCTTTTCTCCCTCCTTTTCTCCCTCCTCCTTTTCACCCTCCTTCTCGTCACCCTCCTTCTTGTCACCCTCCTTCTTGTCACCCTCCTTCTTGTCACCCTCCTTCTTTTCACCCTCTTGCTTTCCACCTTCTCCCTCTCCCGTCTCTCCCTCTCCAGTATCTCCTTCACCCTGCGCACCCGGCTCACTGTTTCCCTCCTCCCGCTTCTCATGCCCCTCCCCATCTCCCTCCATGCCCCCCATTTCTGAAGGTCCATCCCCCTTCCCTTCCCCCACCACCCCTCTACGCTCCCTCTCTCCCTTCTCACCCCCTTCCCCACCAGCCAAAGTCACGCCCTCCATTTCTGAAGGTCCATCCCCTTTTCCTTCTCTCACCGCGCCTCTGCGCACTTCCTCTCCCGCCTTCCTAACAGCCTCTTCTTTCCCAAAAGGTGCTGCTGCTGCTGCTGCTGCTGCTGCTGCGGCGGCTGCAGCTGCTTCCTCTTTTGTTGTTGCGCCTCCCGCTGCTGCCTCTGCGACCCTACGATCTGCACTACTCGCGTCTGCATCCCTAAGCTCATAAGCTCTAGTCATCTCTCATTCACCAAAATGGCCCATAAGCTCATAAGCTCTAGTCATCTCTCATTCACCAAAAAGGTTTATAAGCTCATAAGCTCTGGTCATCTCTCATTCACCTAAAAGGCCCATAAGCTCATAAGCTCTAGTCATCTCTCATTCACCAAAAAGGTTCATAAGCTCATAAGCTCTAGTGATCTCTCATTCACCAAAAAGGTTCATAAGCTCATAAGCTCTATCTTTCATTCACCAAAAAGGTTCATAAGCTCATAAGCTCCAGTCATCTCTCACTCACCAAAAAGGTTCATAAGCTCATAAGCTCTAGTCATCTCTCATTCACCAAAAAGGTTCATAAGCTCATAAGCTCTAGTCATCTCTCATTCACCAGAAAGGTTCATAAGCTCATAAGCTCTAGTCATCTCTCATTCACCAAAACGGTTCATAAGCTCATAAGCTCTAGTCATCTCTCATTCACCAAAAAGGCTCATAAGCTCATAAGCTCTAGTCATCTCTCATTCACAAAAAAGGTTCATAAGCTCATAAGCTCTAGTCATCTCTCACTCACCAAAAAGGTTCATAAGCTCATAAGCTCTAGTCATCTCTCATTCACCTAAAAGGCCCATAAGCTCATAAGCTCTAGTCATCTCTCATTCACCAAAAAGGCTCATAAGCTCTAGTCATCTCTCATTCACCAAAAAGGTTCATGAGCTCATAAGCTCTACTCATCTCTCATTCACCAAAAAGGTTCATAAGCTCATAAGCTCTAGTCATCTCTCATTCACCAAAAAGCTTCATAAGCTCATAAGCTCTAGTCATCTCTCATTCACCAAAATGCCCATAAGCTCATAAGCTCTAGTCATCTCTCATTCACCAAAAAGGTTCGTAAGCTCATAAGCTCTGGTCATCTCTCATTCACCAAAAAGGTTCATAAGCTCATAAGCTCTAGTCATCTCTCATTCACCAAAAAGGCTCATAAGCTCTACTCATCTCTCATTCACCAAAAAGGTTCATGAGCTCATAAGCTCTAGTCATATCTCATTCACCAAAAAGGTTCCTAAGCTCATAAGCTCTAGTCATCTCTCATTCACCAAAAAGGCTCATAAGCTCATAATCTCTAGTCATCTCTCACTCACGAAAAAGGTTCATGAGCTCATAAGCTCTAGTCGTCTCTCATTCACCAAAAAGGTTCATAAGCTCATAAGCTCTAGTCATCTCTCACTCACAAAAAAGGCTCGTAAGCTCATAAGCTCTAGTCATCTCTCATTCACCAAAAAGGCTCATAAGCTCATAAGCTCTAGTCATCTCTCATTCACCAAAAAGGCCCATAAGCTCATAAGCTCTAGTCATCTCTCATTCACCAAAAATGTTCATAAGCTCATAAGCTCTAGTCATCTCTCATTCACCAAAAAGGTTCATAATCTCATAAGCTCTAGTCATCTCTCATTCACCAAAAAGGTTCATAAGCTCATAAGCTCTAGTCATCTCTTATTCACCAAAATGGCCCATAAGCTCATAAGCTCTAGTCATCTCTCATTCACCAAAAAGTTTCATAAGCTCATATGCTCTAGTCATCTCTCATTCACCGAAAAGGCTCATAAGCTCATAAGCTCTAGTCATCTCTCATTCACCAAAAAGGCTCATAAGCTCTAGTCATCTCTCATTCACCAAAATGGCTCATAAGCTCATAAGCTCTAGTCATCTCTCATTCACCAAAAAGGTTCATAAGCTCATAAGCTCTAGTCATCTGTCATTCACCAAAAAGGTTCATAAGCTCATAAGCTCTAGTCATCTCTCATTCACCAAAAAGGTTCATAAGCTCATAAGCTCTCGTCATCTCTCATTCACCAAAAAGGTTCATAAGCTCATAAGCTCTATATTGGGACACGCTAGGGAAGCATGTCATGGGGCTGGCTCAAGACTTCGCTCTCACCTCTATACTCCCGACCAGTGTGAAGGATGCAGTGACAATACTCATGCACAAAAAAGGAGCAAAGGACCAGTTGGATAACTATCGTCCTATCACGCTCCTGAACATCAGCTACAAAGTGTTGGCGCGAGTCCTGGCGAGCAGAATTAAAAAAGTTCTTCACAGAGTGATCTCACCGGAGCAGTTCAGTTTTATTCCGGGGCGACGAATATCAGATGCAGTGGGGCTGGTCGCTGATATCATTGATGCGGCCAAGAATGGGAGAGAAGACTGGTATATGCTGTTGGTTGACTTCAAGAAGGCGTTTGACTCGGTGTCCCGCGACTTCATTTTTGACGTGATGGGGAAAATGGGTTTCCCGGCTCGGTTCGTCGGTTGGGTAAGAGGCCTGCACACAAACACACGGACGAACCTCTTGATCAACGGCTGGATGGGAGATGCAGTGGAGGTGGTTTCAGGAGTAAGGCAGGGTTGCCCCTTAGCACCCTACCTCTTCCTCTGTGCGGTGGAGCCTCTGGCGCAGAAAGTGATAAAGCGGAAGATTGGAATCTCGCTCACTAGCTGCGTCGGTCAGAGGCTAGGCTACATTGGTTATGCAGATGACACGACTCTCCTTCTACAAGGAGAACAACAAATTAGGAAGGCGGAGGAGGTGTTAGAGGAGTTAAAAGAAATCTCGGGATTAGAGACGAACAAGGGGAAGTCAGTGGTGATGCCTTTGGGAGCTAACCTGGGGAAAAAGACTTGGCGGACCAACGGGTTTCGTTGGGCAGACCCTGACGAAGCTGAGAGACTCACCGAACGGAAGTTGTCAGCCGACGTGGGATAAGGCGCTGCAAAAAATTGCTGGGAAAATGACGTTGTGGCAGCCGCAATTCTTCCCGATTAAGGCTCGGACAGCGGTGATGGACGGGTACATACTGCCGATTGCTTGGTCCCAGGCTCAGGTTTATCCGCCGTCTGTGCAAACCTGGAGAGAGATCACGAAAATGACGCAAAATTTCATGTCAGCGAACAAGGTATCATCGGAGAAATGCTTCAACCTCATAAGCTCTAGTCATCTCTCATTCACCAAAAAGGTTCATAAGCTCATAAGCTCTAGTCATCTCTCATTCACCAAAAAGGCTCATAAGCTCTAGTCATCTCTCATTCACCAAAAAGGTTCATGAGCTCATAAGCTCTAGTCATCTCTCATTCACCAAAAAGGTTCATAAGCTCATAAGCTCTAGTCATCTCTCATTCACCAAAAAGGTTCATAAGCTCATAAGCTCTAGTCATCTCTCATTCACCAAAAAGGTACATAAGCTCATAAGCTCTAGTCATCTCTCACTCACCAAAAGGGTTCATAAGCTCATAAGCTCTAGTCATCTCTCATTCACCAAAAAGGTTCATAAGCTCATAAGCTCTAGTCATCATTCATTCACCAAAAAGGCTCATAAGCTCATAAGCTCTAGTCATCCCTCATTCATCAAAAAGGTTCATACGCTCATAAGCTCTAGTCATCTCTCATTCACCAAAAATGTTCATAAGCTCATAAGCTCTAGTCATCTCTCATTCACCAAAAAGGTTCATAAGCTCATAAGCTCTAGTCATCTCTCATTCACCAAAAAGGTTCATAAGCTCATAAGCTCTAGTCATCTCTCATTTACCAAAAAGGCCCATAAGCTCATAAGCTCTAGTCATCTCTCATTCACCAAAAAAGTTCATAAGCTCATAAGCTCTAGTCATCTCTCATTCACCAAAAAGGCTCATAAGCTCATAAGATCTAGTCATCTCTCATTCATCGAAAAGGTTCATAAGCTCATAAGCTCTAGTCATCTCTCATTCAACAAGAAGGTTCATAAGCTCATAAGCTCTAGTCATCTCTCATTCACCAAAAAGGTTCATAAGCTCATAAGCTCTAGTCATCTCTTATTCACCAAAAAGGTTCATAAGCTCGTAAGCTCTAGTCATCTCTCATTCACCAAAAAGGCTCATAAGCTCATAAGCTCTAGTCATCTCTCATTCACCAAAAATGCTCATAAGCTCATAAGCTCTAGTCATCTCTCATTCACCAAAAAGGCTCATAAGCTCATAAGCTCTAGTCATCTCTCAATCACCAAAAAGGTTCATAAGCTCATAAGCTCTAGTCATCTCTCATTCACCAAAAAGGCTCATAAGCTCATAAGCTCTAGTCATCTCTCATTCACCAAAAAGGCTCATAAGCTCATAAGCTCTAGTCATCTCTCACTCACCAAAAAGGTTCATAAGCTCATAAGCTCTAGTCATCTCTCACTCACCAAAAAGGTTCATAAGCTCATAAGCTCTAGTCATCTCTCATTCACCAAAAAGGTTCATAAGCTCATAAGCTTTAGTCATCTCTCATTCGCTAAAAAGGCTCATAAGCTCATAAGCTCTAGTCATCTCTCATTCACCAAAAAGGCTCATAAGCTCATAAGCTCTAGTCATCTCTCATTCACCAAAAAGGTCCATAAGCTCATAAGCTCTAGTCATCTCCAATTCACCAAAAAGGTTCATAAGCTCATAAGCTCTGGTCATCTCTCATTCACCAAAAAGGCCCATAAGCTCATAAGCTCTAGTCATCTCTCACTCACCAAAAAGGTTCATAAGCTCATACGCTCTAGTCATCTCTCATTCACCAAAAAGGCTCATAAGCTCATAAGCTCTAGTCATCTCTCATTCACCAAAAAGATTCATAAGCTCATAAGCTCTATTCTATCTCATTTAACAAAAAGGTTCATAAGCTCATAAGCTCTAGTCATCTCTCTTTCCCCAAAAAAGGTTCATAAGCTCATAAGCTCTAGTCATCTCTCATTCACCAAAATGGCTCATAAGCTCATAAGCTCTAGTCATCTCTCATTCACCAAAAAGGTTCATAAGCTCATAAGCTCTAGTCATCTCTCATTCACCAAAAAGGTTCATAAACTTATAAGCTCTAGTCATCTCTCACTCACCAAAAAGGTTTATAAGCTCATAAGCTCTAGTCATCTCTCATTCACCAAAAAATGTTCATAAGCTCATAAGCTCTAGTCATCTCTCATTCACCAAAAAGGCTCATAAGCTCTTAAGCTCTAGTCATCTCTCATTCACC